AGAGGCAAAGATGGAGGGTCTGCCCAACAGAGAAAAGAGCATGGGCAAAAGCATAAAGAGTCAAACTACATGAGATGCTGAATGTGGCCAGATACATACATATTTTAGAATGGAGTGGTGTTGGGAGATCATTGGGAAGAAAAATTCAGAGTCAAATTACAAGTAAATAATATGAATTTTATCCTACAGGCAGAGCTGATATTTAATCGGTTTGCACTCAGATGGTCATGTCTGCTGTTAAATATTATAAATGATCTGAACTAGCCACCACCAGAAATTTCCCAAGTTTCTCTATGACCTGAGCTGAACCAGCACCTGGCTGAGGGCCCCATCTTCTACGAGATCCAGCACCTAAAGGGTTAAGGCATAGAGTATCAGGGATTCCGTAAGATTTCCTCACTGCTGAGGACGAGCACACCTAATATCAGTGCCGTGCCCTACTGGTTTTGCATATTTTGCCACCTTTGCCTATATGCAAGGGGAAGTTATCACAGGCATGTTTTCGTTTTGAGACTGAGTTCTCTTTGCCACCCAAGCTGAAGTGCAGTGGAGCAACCACAGTTCACTGCAGCCTCAAACTCTTGGGCCCAAGCGATCCTCCCACCTCACCCTCCCGAGTAGTTGGGACTACAGGTGTGTGCCACCGTGCCTGGCTAATTCTTAAATTCTTTTTGTAGGGACAGAGTCTCACTATGTTGCCCAAGCTGGTCTCAAATTTCTGGGCTCAGCCCATCCTTTCGCCTTGGCCTCCCAAAGTGCTGGTATTACAGGCGGGAGCCACTGTGCCTGTGACCTACCACACGTTTTTAAGCTGAGGAATAATATGAGCACAAATATAATTACTTGGCAACAGTACAGATGAATCAGGAGACAAGATTAGGAACGATTGCAATGGATCAGATGAAAGAAAAAAATTTGTTATGCTCCATTTTCTACAAAGGATTAAATTATACTACAGACTATTTCTTACACAAAAATGTTACACTGCAGGAGGTCGGGAATAGGAGAGAGTAGGTATGGACAAAACAGATTGCAGCATACGACAACTGGAATTTTCAATTTTGCAAAGCAGGGGGTACAGTGAAAAGGGAAATATGTTCTGGACGTACCAGTGTACAGTAGAATGTGCAGACCACCCCCGTTGCCACTACTGCGCCCCACAGATCAAATCCTGTGACTGTAGAAAAAAAGATAATGCATGTGTAATTGTGAAATATGCACAATAAAAATACTCCTCAAAAATCATCAGAGAATGAAGCCATATCATTTATTAGGCACCTTCCTCTACACCCACTTGTCTAAAACTAAAACTAGCTCCAAATCTCATAAATATCTCAAAGACAAATGGAGTTTAAAATTCTATTTGATGAGTTTCTAACCCTCAGATACACAGATTCGACATTAGCTTAATTAAATAGATGGAAAGACATTTATATTGTAATTAAGCTTAGAAAGTCCTTGATACTGTGATGGATATTTCTTATCTCTCTCCCCCCATTATATATGGTTCAAATAAACACACTACTTTTTATGTGTTATGTTGCAAATACTTGAATTTGAGGATAATATATCATACTGACATATAGTGACAATATTCAATTGCTATGATGTGTAGAAAATTCAAATGAAGACAACATTAAAGGATTCTAATGTAATTGTAACATTGCAGATTGCAGATCTGATTTTTCAGAAATTTAATAAAGGTAATGATAATGCTTATTTTAAAACTTTTAAGTTCAGGTGTACATGTGCAAGTTTGTTACGTAGATGAACTTGTGTCATGGGGGTTCCTTGTACAGATTATCTCATCTCTCAGCTATCAAGTCTAGTACCCATTAACCCATTCGCTGTTTTTCCTGATCCTCTCCCTCCTCCCACCCTCCACCCTCGAATAGGCCCCACTGTGTGTTGTTCCCCTGTATGTGTCTATGTAAGCACACTATTTTACCAGTCCTTGAAGAACGCATTGCTAAGACATGTACTACTAAAATGGATATAGATGGAGAAAAGTCTTTATAATTTGCTGCTATTTATCTAAGAAGTGAGGGAATTTATTTCATTTTTTTAAAGAAAAGAATTGTGCTCACTTCAGCAGTACATATACTAAAATTAAAGGATAAATCAAAACCAAAAAATTACTTCTAGGAGAGGGAGAAAATAGGGTAGAGGAGACAGAGATACAAGCCAGGCTTCTTTAAACATATTTTGATGTATAGATTTTACTTTGGAACCACATAAATATTCCACATAATTATAAAGTCAAATTAGAAAAAGAAACTCCTTAATATCAATTGCAAAATGAAATAAATGGAACCTAACCGTACATCAAGTTTGTGACATTACCACACAGAGGAAATATGTCACAAAATGTTTAACATGGCAAATTAACATATATTCCTACTCAGATACACCAAGAAAAAAGAAAAACAAAGAAAAATATTTTTAACTGTGTTAGACCATCATATTATTCTTTATGGCTTAGGGTTGCTATTCTAAAACTATTACAACCATGGCTTTCAACTGTGACTGCACAGTAAAATCAACAGAGGAGATTTACAAAATCCTGATAACTGAGTCACTCAACAGGCTAATTAACTCAGAGTCCTGGCGATGGGGACCCAGGTACTGGTATTTTTGAAAGCCCCCCATCCCAAATGAATCCAATATGCAGCCAAGGTTAAAATCAGGAGGAACTTAAGGGGGCTACTGCTGAATAAAAATGGGACAATTTGGGCATCGGTAATAATACTAACGATAGCTACAAAATAACAGCAAACCTTTAAATCTATGAGATCTTAAGGATTTTTTAAAAATCTCAGTCACCCTTGAGGAATAGTAGAGAACCAATTTATTCTTTTTAAAACTCATAAGGGGAAAAATCTGACATTTATCCTGCCTTTCCTATACAAACTATTTTTCAGAGTAAACACATAGTTAATAAGAGGAAGTTTCTCTTTATAGAAGTATTCCGTCTAATTAGTGCAGAAGAATTCACAGCACTAGAAGATTCCATTTTATAAGCCCCAATGAAATAATAAATCTAGAATGATTGTCAATAGCTGCTGATTTTTTTAAACTTGACATTCTAGGACTCATGAAGGAAATAAACTTAGAGATACTGCCTACACATTATGATTTCGAAAAAGTTTAAGTGGAGTCTCAAAAAGATTCTAGATCTAACCACTAGTAGTAAACTACTACCAGTTTATAGGAATACATAGGAATGGGGAACATTAAATGACCCCATAGAGATGTAGTTGTTAAACCTAAAACCTGGAAAACTGGACAGAACAAATAACCCAGTTTCTTCAGCAAATAAGTTTCCATTTAAATGAAAAGAAATAGAAGAGAGATTGTAAATTAAAAAAAGATTTTAGAAGAGCCTCAAAATACATTCAGTAAAAATTGACAGAGAAATAGGAGCAATAGAAAAATCAATAATTATATTTGAAGATTTTAACATCCTTCTCTCAGCAATTGATAGAACAAGTTTAAAAAAACAGAAAAGAGATGGAAGATGTGATAAAACTATTAGCCAACTAAATCTTTGACTCTGTATGGAACATTACATCCCACAAGCACACAGTATACATTCTTTTTAAGAGTACATGGAATGTTCAAGATAGAACTGATCCTGGGCCATAAGACAAATCCATAAATTTCAAATGATTATAATTATATTAGTTCTCTGACCAAAACAGAGACTATTTATTAGTTTGGGAATAAATAACAAAAAGACATTATAGAAAATTCTCAAATATTGAAAATTAAGCAATATACTTCTAAATAACCCCTGGGCAAAAGAAATCACAGGAGAAGTTAGAAAATATTTTGAGAACCAAATAAAAACACAAGGTCAAAATCCATGGGCTGCAAATAAAGCCGTGGTTAAGAAAAATTAATAATTTTAAATGTTTGCATTATGAAATCAGAAATACTTAAAATTAATGATCTAAGCTTCTACCTTAAGAAGCTGGAAAACATAAACCCAAAGTAACTAGAAGTAAAGAAACAACAAACAGCACAAGTTAATGAAATAGAAAACAAAATCAACAAGCCAAAACATTGGTTCTTAGAAAACATTTAAAACATCAATAGAATACTAGAAAGACATATCAAAATAAAAAGATAGAAAAGATGTCTTGTCAATATTAGGGATAATTAGAAGGGATGTCACTGTAGATACTATAAACATTAAAAGCATAACAGGAGGTTTGTAAACAACTTTATGCCAATGAATTTGATAAGTTAGAAGAAATGGAAGCATTCCCTAAAAAAACACAATTCACCAAAACTGACCCAACAAGACTTTTAAAATCTGAATAAGTCTGTATATGTTAAAGAAATTGAATCCATAAACCAAAATCTTTCTACAAAAACAAAGAGAAGGTCCAGATGCCTTCAGGGTGAATTCTATCAAGCACATAAGAAATAAATACACGGTTTAATATAAACTATTTCAGAAAATGGAGGAGAGAACATTCCCAACTCATTTATGAAGCCTTATTAAAGTGTTAGCAAACTGAATTCAGTAATATATAAAAAGTATTATATATTATGACCAAGCACAGTTTATCCCAAGAATGCAAAAATTAGTTTAATATTCAAAACTCAATCAATGTAACTTTCCACATTAATACTGCAATAAGACAGGAAAGAGAACTAAGAGCTATAAGGATTAGAAAAGAAGTAAAATGGTCACTATTCATAAACAACACAAAAATCCTAAGGGTATCTTCAAAAACCTGCTTGATTTAAAAAGTAAATTCAGCAAGTTCTCAGGATGGAATATCAACATATAAAAGTCAGTTGTATTTTTATAGACTTGCAATGAAGAATTGAAAAATGTTACAAAACAATACCATTTTCAATAGCATAAAAACATAAATCATCTAGGACTAAATCTAAGAAATAGTAAAAGACCTCAATATCCAAAGGTACAAAACATTACTAAGAGAAGTTTTATTTTGATTTCTTATTTCTTTTCTTCCTTTAAAAAAAAAAATATGGAATGCTTCACAAATTTGCATATCCTTTTTGTGCAAGTGCCATGCTAATCTTCTCTGTATTGTTCCAGTTTTAGCATTATGTGCTGCCAAAGTAAGCACTAAGAGAAATTTTTAGAGGGCTAAGTAAATGAAAAGATATGTCAGATAATTAATTGGAAGAATATCTACTTTTGTGAAGTGTTCAAGTCTTTGACTCACTTTTTATTAGGTTATTTGTTTTTATTCACTTTATTATTTCAGGAACCAATAAGCTCAGCCATAATAGTTATACATAAAGTGAAAATTAAAACAATAGCTGGGTGCAGTGGCTCACGCCTGTAATCCTAGCACTTTGGGAGGCTAAGATGGGTGGATCACCTGAGGTCAGGAGTTCAAGACCAGCCTGGCCATCATGGTGAAACCCCATCTTTAAAAAAAAAAAAAGAAAAGAAAAGAAAAAAGAAAATTAAAACAATAAAGTAATAGATAATACCCACTAGGATGACTAGAATAAAAAAGGATAATATAAAATGTTGGCAAAGATGTGGAATGACTAGAATTCTCACATATTGTGTCGTGAACATGCAAAATGATACAACCACTTGGAAAAGCTGTTTGGCAATTTCTCATAAATTTACACAAATTCCTATCCTCAGCTGGGTCTGAATACAATTATATGTTTAACTTTATACACATCCATGTATGTCCTTTACAATGGAAGTGAAAACAGGGGTCAAAAAGAAAAACAAAACTCACAAAACCTGTAGAAGAATGTTCTTGGCACCCTTAATTCACAATAGCCTGAAACTGGAAACAACCCAATGTCTCTAACAAAAGAATGGATACCCAAATGTTGGTAGATGCATAAAATGAAGTACTACCAGTGGGAAAAAAAAAAAAAAGGACTGAACTGATACATGTAGCAGCATGAATGAATCTCAAAAATGTTTTCTGAGCAAAAGAAACCAGACACTTAAAAGGCTCTATATGATTCCACTTACATAAAATCTAACAACAGGGAAAACTAGTTTGTGGTGGTAAAAGTCAGAAAATGGTTTCTTGGGTCCATTGGGGAATTGTTAAAAAGACATATAAGGAAAATTTCTGGAAGCGAATGATGGAAATAATCTATATCGTGAGTGGGGTGGTAGTTACACAAGCTATTATGCAACTATTAAAACTCATCCAGCTGTACACTTCCCTGTGTTCTGTGCATTTTATTGTATATTAACTGTGCCTCAATAAAAACTGGTTTTCTCAACAGGCAGCAGGTGGTCAGAAAAAAAGAAAGAAAAAAAAGCTGGCTTTCCGTTTTAAAAAGCAGGAAAGGGAAACTTAAGAGACATCAACTGCTGCAATCGCATAATCTTATTTGGATCCTGATTCTAACAAACACTGAAAAATATCAGGGAAATGTGAACACTGACTTGATATGAACTTAAGAAATTAATATTAATATTTTAGATACAATGATGGTATAATTATGGTTTTTTAAAAGTCTTTATTTCTAAAAGTCATACTGAAACCCAGATGAAATGACATATTTGCAGCAAAATAATCTAGTAGAGGTAAGGGGGAGTGAATTAAAATGGACCATGAGTTGATAAATATTAATGTAGAGGATGAATGAGCACATTAAGGAGCTCTGTTCTCTCTTAGTATTTGAGATTTTCCAAAATTTAAAAAATTTAAAAAAAATAGATCTAGAGAATGTTAAGTTTCAATTAAGTTAAATAAGCTTTTTTTCGGGCATCTGTTGCACACTAAGTTCTGTGTCTATGTCTGTGCCTACTGCCTTGGTCACAGTAAAACACACATTGACACTCTAGTCATCAAAACACCTTCACTCTGGTTCTAATTTACTCTCAGGGAGTGGTTTGAGCCTGATAAGAGAAGAATCCCTCACTTCTTCAAAGATTGAAGTCAGTCCTCTGATTATCCCCAGAACTGCACTTTAAAACCCTACTATGATTAATTACACTTAAAGCCAATAGGTAACTTATGAAGTTTATAACTCAGTTCTCGACATATGAAATGATCCACTTGTGATGTTGGTAATATTGACGTGGAACATGCCCAGCATTCAGAGTTCAACAGCACCTTATATATGAAGTTCCTCTTGGTAATAATACTGTTTACTTCATAAACTTAGGTGATAACTACGTGTCTTTCATAAAATCAAGAAAGCAGAATGTGGAATTAGTAGGTTTTCTTCAGGTCATATCATGACCCCAGGAATTGCACCACCTTCTTCCCATCACAGAGTCCACATGTCCATTTTACAAGGAAGTTTTAGAGAAATTCACTTCCAATAGATCAGAATTCAAAGGGCATGCTCTTTTCCCAAAGCCTTTTGAAAATATGACTAACATAAACCTTTGCTTCAATAAATGATACCAGGCTCACTGCATTTATCTTCCCAGATCTAGAGAGTATAGATACTCTGTTGGTCAGCACAATCTTCATAAATGTATTTGTAAGGGCACTAGAGACATCTGTCCTTTTGTTACTAGGAGCAGTCTGATTATTCGAATCACATAGCTCTCTTTCTCTTTCATTTTGGGCCATATTAGAAGTCAGGAGAAGAAAAGCTTTTCTCCCTTCCAAGTTTTACAACAGACCTAAGCAGAATTACAGGGAAGCTTCCAGGAGATGGGCTCCATGTTATAGACCCACAGGAGGGGATGCCATGAATCCTGACTTTGACTACAGGTGGCTTTAATTCTAAAGGAATGAATGGCTGGTGGGCACATCCCAGAGAAGTACCACCTGGAGAAGTCTGCCTCTGTAATGATCTACAGGTACTTTGGAGCTATCCATCCAGAAACCCAAAGAAGCTACTATAAACACTGAACCCATTCTGCCCCTCTAGTAAAGCTGATGTAGGTTACTAGAAGCATTCCTTCATCTTCCTATTTCCCGAAGGAGAAAATAAGCCTTGCTGAAAGTGAACCCCAAAATGTGAGTTACCTAACTGGCAACTCTAAAATGTACCTTGATTCAAAGCCAGGGCAGGGGCATAAATAACAATTCCAGTGTACAGAATCTAGGGGAAAAAGAAAGTCAAATGAATTATACAAACTATGAAATTCATGAATTATGTCTGAGTTATAAAATAAAAAATAATTGATTTTTTCCATAGCTTCAATTATGAATTAAAACAACAGTTTCAAAATGCCTAATAAAATTTGTTTGTAACTTGAAAACTGTTATTTATGTAAATTTTACTCTTCTGTTTATGGTATGGTCATAAGTTACAAACATGTTTTTGTAATCGGCTTATGTAAAAATACGGACTTTTATATGCTACTTCGTGCAAATGGTCACTGATCCACCAACTCAAGCTTGAAATAAATTTCCTACATCTAAAATAATTAGAAAAAAACAAGAATCAATCATATGTCTTCAAACTGTTAATTGCTGCATAATTAATCAAGAAAACAGTAAAAATTTGGAAAACCTATTTTTAAAAGTTTCAATGTTCATAAATTAAACAAAAGTGTAAATTTGCCCTAAAAAAATCCTGAAAGCCAACAAAAACATTTGATCTTTTTCATATTAAAAAGATATTTAATCTTCTTAACATTCATTATTTTCATTCATACATTTAACAACAATTGATCTGGGGTATAATAGTGAGTAAGATAAATAGTCTTTTTCTCAAAATATAATTTTTATTGTGTTTGATCTTTCAAATATATCCCATAGAAGCTAAGTCCATGATTATTCCATAAAAGCATATTATGAAAATAAAAACATATTAAGTACCTTTTGAATGTTTGATTATATTGCATGAGTAGAACTATGAAGTCCTTCAAATGGGAGGTGCTAAAGCTCTCCTTCTTTTTTGCAAAAAAGAACTAACTTTCCACAGTCATTATTCTGTCCAAGTTGAAGATTTAAGAGCATGATCACAGGCGACCTTCCTAACACTTGTCCCCACTTCTCATTTCTATTGGCATTTCTAACAGAGATCCAGTGAGGGTTTGAACAGTTGGTGAATGCAAGCTACCAGGCTCAACTCTCTAAGGATCCCTTCCTTTTACACTGCAGTTGTTAAGGACTGATAAAATTTAAGTTGTATAATTTGCAAGGATATAAAATGGAGTGGAGTTACATAATTTACAAAGGCACTCTGTCTCACTTGCAGCAAATCCTTTGGTAGCTTTTTTTAAATTTAATTTTTTTTTTTTTTTACGGAGTCTTGCTCTGTCACCCAGGCTAGGGTACAATGGCACAATCTTGGCTCACTGTAACCTCCGCCTCCTGGGTTCAAGTGATTCTCCTGCCTCAGCCTCCTGAGTAGCTGGGATTGGGATTACAGGCACCCGCCATCATGCCTGGCTAATTTTTGTACAGATGGGGTTTCACCCTGTTGGCCCAGCTAGTCTTGAATTCCTGACCTCAGGTGATCCACTCGCCTCAGCCTCCTAAAGTGCTGGGGTTACAGGGTGAGCCCCTGTGCCCCACCCTTAGGTAGCTTTTGATTGGAGACATGGAATTGCAATTAGAGACAAGAATGCAAACCTCTTCCACAAACTCCATTAGCAAATCCAGCCTAAAGTGTTTAACTGTCAAGAGGAAGTTGTGTATATAAATAATTGTGACACTGATCATTATAATCTTCCAGCATCAGGGTGAACAGTGGAAAGTATTCTCTGTCACTGGCTACTTGGCAAATCCTTGCTCTCCTTTTGTGTCAATCAGTAAATCTTTAAGTGCATGTTCTTGAATTACTGAATTGAGTATTTGGCTTTAAAAACTCCAGAACTTATGATTCTGTTGTTTTACTCTTTAGTTGGTTCTTATAGTCTAATTTTTAAAAGAGCACTGATTTTTAAAGCATGATTTCAAAGAAAATTATTTCCTACTGTCTTCCTAATGGAAGTTAATTTTTTTATGCCTATTTCTCAATATGTCACTCAATATGTACTCGTTCTCCTTTTGTTATAATTCCCACTATCAGCAACAAGTATCTTTGTCATGTAGTAATGCCCTTCCTGTCACCCTGGTGGAGGTGAAGGGAGATCACACAAAGGGAAGCATATATTCCAACTGTCACTTCATCAATGTAATATTTAACATTTACTTAAATCATTCTGCTTTTCCAGGAAGTAAAG